AAAAAAAAAAAGTGCAAGTGTATGGGATTTTCCCAGCAGCTGGAAAGGAGATTTACAGCTGTATTAGCTTTAGCTCCTTTTGAAAATACTGGCTCTAAAGATGTGTTTGATAGCTGCACGCAGAATGAATCCACATTAGTGCATGTAAACTGAAGTTACAGAGATTTTGGGCATGAATAGGCTCGAGTCCAGAGCTGGTGATGTTCTCCTGACCACAGCCATGAGCCAATGAGCCGAGCTCACTGCTTCAGCAAGTCAGTAAACTGACAGCCTTGCTTCGGAACTTTTTGGCAATCTCAAAAGCTACAGCTGACTTTAGCATGGTAGAAATATAGAGTTGGGATTTCCTTTAAAATTAATTTATTTAACCAAATTTACTGAGATTTTACAGTTACATGTATTTTTAAAACAGAAGGCTATGGGGAAAAAGTCAAATGGCTCCAGATGTTTCAAATTTTGCAGTCTTGGAAAACTAGAGAAAAACTTGTAAATTTTTTGATTTGGTACCATCAGCCTAGTGGGCTTCTGAGTACACCTACTAACTGATGCACTTGGGAACCAGTTTCTTTGACTTCTGGAGCAATTTGGCAATTTATCGTAGAATGCCCATGTTCACAGTTTCACTGATAGTTCTCTTGATTACTGCTAAACTGTTAGGCAAGAATTAACTGATGTTGCTCTTTCTCTGTTTAGGCAAAAGGCTTGTCAGTATTGACTGTTACTATGCAAAATCTGTTTCATGTGAGAGGACTGCATATCAAAGATGACTTGGTCGCCATCACAGAAACGTGGTGGGACAACTCGCATGACTGGCATGCTGTCATAGATGGCTACAGACTCTTTAGGAAAGACAGACCAACAAGGAGAGGTGGGGGAGTTGCTCTATATGTGAGGGAGCAACTGGAATGCATTGAGCTTGGCCTGGGGGCAAATGAAGAACGAGTTGAGTGCTTATGGGTTAGAATTAAGGGACAGGCTCATACTGGTGACATTACTGTGGGTGTGTACTACAGGCCACCTGACCAGGAGGAGGAAATTGATGAGGCCTTCTACAGGCAGCAGCAAGCAGCCTCACAATCACAGGCCCTGGTTCTCATGGGGGACTTCAACCACCCTGACATCAGCTGGGAAGACCATACAGCTAGGCAGGCGCAATCCAGGAGGTTCCTACAGAGCATCGATGATAACTTTCTGATGCAAGTGGTGGAGGAACCAACAAGGAAAGGCGCGCTGCTGGACCTCGTGTTAACAAACAAGGAGGGACTGGTGGAGGACGTGAAGGTTGGAGGTAGACTCGGCTGCAGTGACCATGAAATGGTCGAGTTCAGGATCCTGCGTGGAGGA